TTTTTTTTCTTTTTTTTTTTTTTTTTTTTTTTTTTTTTTTTTTTTTTTTTTTTTTTTTTGTTTTTCTTTCTGAATTGGGTGTTAGGACGAATTTACTTTTAACTTCCACCCACCATGGATTTCGAAGATCAAAAGGAGCATGAGGAGGAGATCGAGATGGCGGCGGCGGCGAGTTACGGCTCCTTGCCTAACTCAGCTGCCCGAGTCAAACTCACGAATTCTACGGACCAAGTGATTTCAAGTGGACAGAGGAAACCCAAGTACAGAGAGTGCTTAAAGAATCACGCGGTTGGCATTGGTGGTCACGCCCTTGATGGGTGCGGCGAATTTCTAGCCGCTGGTGCTGAAGGTACCCTCGACGCTCTCAAATGCGCTGCCTGCAACTGCCACCGCAACTTCCACCGCAAGGAGATCGACAACCTCGACTCTGCTATAGGTGTCGGACACGGAATCGGAGAGCCATTTCTATTGCCCCACCCGGGTCAGTTCTCCCCCTACTACAGAACCCCAGCTGGGTATCTCCACGTGGCGCCACACCACAGGCCACTGGCTCTTCCATCCACCTCAGGCGGTGGGGGCAGCCACAGCAGGGAGGAGGAGGAGGACATGTCGAACCCGAGCGGCGGCGGAGGAGGAGGAGGAGGAGGAGGGAGTAGTAGCCTGGGAAAGAAGAGATTTAGGACGAAGTTCACACAAGAACAGAAGGACAGAATGCTGGGACTGGCGGAGACATTGGGGTGGAGGATCCAAAAACAGGACGAGGCGGTGGTGCAACAGTTCTGTAACGACACCGGAGTGAAGCGGCACGTGCTTAAAGTGTGGATGCATAATAACAAGCACACTCTTGGTAAGAAACCCTAGACACAAATTAAATCCAAAAAAAGAAAAAAAGAAAAAAAAACCATAACTTCATTGCTGAATGAAATGTTAACTTGAAGAGTTCCATGTTGTCTCTATTTTGGGGCATTTTTTAGATTTAGGGTTTTATGATCTTCATCATCATCATTCTCTACCTTTGTCTTTGTGGGTTTTGTGTTTAAATTAATTGGAATTTCATTTCAATTACTCACTACTTGCCTTTCCTCTTCCCAGAAGCAAAGCTATATATGGTGGTTATTATATGGTGTTAATTAGTTGGGAATAATTTTTATGGGTTTGGGGGATAGAACAAACATACATGGGGTTGTTTTCTGTCACTTGCATACAATCTCATTATCAACTTCCTTTAATCTCAACTTCCTCCTATATATGAAACATTATATGTTTGTGCAAATTTGTTGCTTCAAGCACAGCAGCAATTTAGGAAAGAGGTTTGTTTTTTAGGCACCAAAACCTGGGTTGAGTTTGGTGTTTTTATGAAAAGATAGGAGCATGTTGAAAATGAGCCACCAAAACCTGCATGCAACAAGAAAGCATTAAAGCAATGTGGGGGAGGAGGAGAAGAGTATTTATGTGTGGTCAAACTCAAACATATATAAATAGAGTGTAGTTTTGTTTGTTAATCATAATCATTGGAGGAGGAGCTTAAAGCAGTGACGGTTTTTTCAGGCTTCTTTTTTTGTTAAGCTCTGTGTAATAAAATTAAGGGCAGCACTCAAATGTGTTAAGAGGGTTGAGGGGATGGGTGGATGGATGGATGGATGGGATTAAGATTATTTAGGGACGTTGGATGATGCTTCTTCTAAGGTGGATTGATTAGGACGTATGAGTGGCCCAAGTTTGGGTGAATCTCTGCGCCCTGCCCCCATTTCATTACATTGCCTGACTTCTTCTGCCAATTATAATTTTCTTTTTCAAATCAAAAGTGGGTGTACCAGGTGGGGCTCCACACACCTCTCTGCCTCATTGCCCATACATTAACACACACAAAGCACACATGTTCCAAATTCCATTACTTTTCTGGACCATGGGCCTACTGCTTCCACTTGGGCCTTTTCTTCTCCATGTCCGCAGTAGGCCCAATCATTCAACAAATGAATCTCTTCCTCCAAATCTCTCGCCAGATCTTCACAATAATAATAATACCCATCGCCAAAACTGAGATATCGGGCAACCCTAAGAACATGCCAAATTTATTTTGATTCATCATTCGAGTTGTTACCCCAAACATGAATCTGTGTTGGGCCATGTGGGGTACGGGCTTTGCTAAAACAAGCCCAGTGATTCATGCATTGTACAACCCCCCTGCTGCCTCTGTTTCAAATTATGAATCACCAAAAATACATATACAAATAGAAGGGGTAGGTGAGAAAATAAATTGGGTATCAATTAATGCGGCGACAAATATATGAATGGAGATTATATATATATACCAAGCTACGGCAGATCCTCGGATGGAATTCATAGCTACTTCTCAGACCCCTTCCACTTTGTCATAACTGATAATTAACATTTATTCCTCATCTACTTAATATCATCTGTTGCCCACCATGTGCAGAACCATAAAATACATTAATTCAAGGAGAAGTAATGTTCCTTGTAGCCTCTCTGGCTGAGGTTTAAGGGCTAAGACAGGGATTAATAACTTGTTTTTACATTAATACCTGACCATGCTCAGCTGTCGTTTAAGGTAGCTTTATTGTTGTTTAATGGGTGTTGCAGAGGCAATGTTTTTGAGTGGGTGCTTGTCAGTGACAACCATGGGGGAGCCAAAGCCTGCTCCACAAGACTTAGTGAGTGAGTGAGTGAGTGAAAATGCACAGGTATCTTAATGAGAGAGTCCTTAAACAATTCATGGGTTGCCTTCAGAAATGGCAATGGTAGCTGAATCCTGAACTCAACCTCTCTCTCTCTCTGTTTCTGTGCAGTTGGAGGAAATTGCATTATTTCCAATGTTTTTCTCAAAACAAAACATTTCCTTGTTTTTTAATCATCATTATATACATACAGATACAGAGTTGGTTTTACAGAGCATTCAGAACACAGGAGGAGTTTGAGTTTGACCAAGTGGGGCCCTCTTTCTCAATCCCCAAAACAAACACATATATAATTCCATTGCTCTGTTCTGCTCTGCTCTGTTCTGCTCTGTTCTGCTCTGCTTCCCCCTTCTCTACCACACTGCCATACAATAACTTCGTTATTTAAAGCCCTAAGGAAATGAAGACAAACCAACAAAAAACACACACACACACACCACAGCATTCATCTCCTTCTCTTCCTCTGCTTCCTTCTTGCACACTAAAATTCTGTTTATAAAAAAGTGAATTTAGGAATTGGAGCAACACTTTTCTGCTTTGTCCTGTTTTCTCTCTCTCTCTCTCTCTCTCTCTTACACTCTACCTCTTATCTATCTCAAAGTTGGGGAAAATTTCAGGGTTTTTTTTCCCTTTTCATTTGCAGTAAAATTAATAATGACCCAGAAGTTAATAGTTCTTCTGTTTTTGGCTCAAACAAGCTGCATCCAACACCCCAACAGGGCTTTGAGGAACTGAACCAGCAACATTATCAGCAACCAATGTATTTACATTACTAATCAACGATACATCTCTGATCAGATCGATGCACTTCATCACCCTCTCCTGCAAAACAAAGCCAACCCATAAAGCAAATGGTTAAAACAAAGCAACCCACAGGCAAAAATGTTTTTTTTTTTTTTTGAAGTTCAAAAAGAGTCAAAGTTGTATTACTTTCTCCATATATGGAAAAGAAAGGATTGCTTTATTGACGTCGGATGCTTGCCATTCTCCTGAAGTGGAAATTGCCACAGCTAAAGCAATTTCAGAAGGCCTGAATTCCAAGAAGTCAATGCCTGCATGCATTTAATTTCCCAACCACAAATCTGTATCAAACACATTAATTTCTGGGGAATGCAACAGAATTTGTCTGTCAGTAAATACAAAGAAAAAGCTCAAAAACACCTTTAATTGTGCTCAGAATGAGTTGTGAAGATTTTGACAAGGATACCCTCGATACGTGCTCTCCAACACTCATCTTACTCAGGAAATAATCAATGAAAGAAAATGGAGTTATGGCATGCATCTTCCATTTCAACCTGCTTAGAACCAGAAGCTCCATTCTTTGTATGGTTTTTGCTTCGAACACAAACTTAGGCTCCTCCACCTGTTCTTCAAAACTGAAATCTATTAATAAAACAGAACAATTGTACTCAGAAAAAAAAAAAAAAGATTGAAACTCATTTGACCTGTAAATCTATGGACAGTGGTACTTCTGTCTCCTCCATCTTTGCTGCTAGAGACACACAAGCAACTGACAGCAGCTGCACAGTCCAGCTTTTATCCATCTAAATAAACACATAAAAGAAAATTTCCACAACTTGAGAAGAAAAAGGAAAGGAGAAGAATAAATGTTGTTTGATTTTTGGAACTTACAGGCAAGTGATACACTGAGAGGAAACGGTCCAAGTAGTTTAAAGATAGACAAAGAGTGAGAGGTCCAAAGCTGTAATGGGCATGAGCCTGTTCATCACACCACATTGAATCAAACAATTAAACTAACTACACTTGAATTTTATAGTCAAGTTTTAGAAATGGACTGTTGAAATTGGCAAAAGAAAACCAAAAACAGATAGAAAAATCAAGACCCCTCCTCTTATAAAAGAATCAAACAGAGAAGTAAAAAAAAAAAAAAAAGACCAACCTTCCAAATCCAATCAAGAGCTTCTCTCCTAAACTTCAAATCCAAATCCCCACTGCGCAGTCTCTTAAGATAATCATGGCTGGGCAAATGCTCAAGCTCTTTTTCCACCATTCCTCTCACCCTCTCTTCACTCTGTAAAGCAAAACCCAGCAAAGTATGGGGCAGAAAAATTGAGCATTGCTCAACCTTATTATTTATGGCATTACAATCAAATTGATCATCAAAACAAGTATTGGCATTGTTCTGTGTACAGTAAAAAGTATCCGCCATTGAAGGATACTTCAAAATCTCAAAAAGAAAAATATCAAACAAATAAAAACAGCATTTGATGTGTCTTAAGAAATGGGTATTACGAACACAACCCAACACTTGATGCCATTAAACACGAGAAGGAACAAACTGAGAGAGAGAGACAGAGAGACAGAGATTTGTAAATAATGGGTTTTGAAGAGAGAGTGTTGGGAGGAAGAGAAGAGGAGGTTTGCTTATGTAGAAGATGAGAGACTAGGAAGTTAGGGTAAAGAGCCAAAAAAAAAAAACATTTTCCATTTCTTCTCCTTTTCCTTTTCAAATTTAAATCTTTTATTTTCAATATTCAAAATTTATTTTAAACTTTGACTATAATCTTTTTATTTTAAAAATTAAAAATTGACTCAATATATATAGATATATATATATATATATATATATATATATATATATATATATATATATATATATATATATATAATGCACATAGAAATCAAATCTATAGTTGAACCAAGATTATCCTTTTTCAACCATCCATATATAGAAAGTTTCAAAGGAAATAATACTAATCATTCCATTATTCACATTTTATTCCTCTAATTTAGAAATAGATATAGTTTAAATTTGATCTCTTTTTTTTTTTTTTTGTATGATTAAGTTTAAATAGATATATTCAATTATTTATTCACAACAAACTACCAAATGAAATAACTTTATATTTAATTACCCATAAACTAGTACATTATAAATAAATGAAAAAGAAAAATGAGGGGTTGGTAGATACGGAAAATAAGGTGAAACGAGAGGGGTAGATACGTCAGACTGAAAAGAGGGATAAAAAAAAAACAAGAGAAAAGGAGCAGTAAGAGTTAGGGGTTGTGATTTTGTTTGGTAGCGCGGGTCGCATGCCTTCCCTCTCTCAATAAGATGACGAAACTCTAACCGTTTCCTTCAGAATTCTCATCATTACCTTCTCTGTCCCTATTCTTACATTATTATTTTTCCCAAAATGCCCACTCCCCCTTTTTTTCTCCTTCCAAAAACCATTTTCTTTTTTCATCCCCTTTTCCTACCCTTCCATAACTGGCGGTCAAATTTTAAATAATTAAATTATTTCCTAATTTTTATTTTTTTCACAACAATGAAATATATATATATATACTAATTTCTTCCACTAAAGTTGTTCAAAGTGCATAATCTCCATTTGGCTTACCACAATCAATCTTGTCTATTTGTTTTAAAATATTTTTAGAAGCGTACTTTAAAATGAAAATGAAAATGAAAACTCAAAACAACAAACATATTATTAAGAGAGGGAGTCAGTGAAAGAGAGAGGATAAGAAGCAAAAGAAAGTGATGCGGATGAAAAGGGGAGAACGTCGATAAATGTGAACAATGAGCATCAAAATTGGAATAACAAACCCCAGCTTAGGATTCCTAATCCTAATATATATACGTTTTAAAGACACCCTTTTTGTCATTCTTCTTTTTATAAACAAATAAATAAGCAAACCCTTTGGCTCTCCTCATCTCTCTTTTTGTCTAAGCATATAAGATGATAAGATTCAGCTTTACCACAGGCATCATGGGGATGGGATCGACCTCTTTTATTGGGTTTGGGCTTCGGGTTCCCAGGCGGACCGACACGGCAACATTAAACTATAACAGTTCTCACATCACGTGTTCTACAAAAAAGAACCTAAAACACAACAGAATGAAGTGTTAAGGTATAATATGTGTGTGGTCCAATCTTACCAAAACCATATTCTTTAAGAGTTAAGAAACAACACAGTCTTCTAGTCGTTTACTTTCTTGAGATTCGAGCTCTCTCCCTCTTTCAACCTCCCTCCTCTGCTTCTTCCTCTTCTTCACTTCAAATGATACCCTCTCTCTCTCTCTCTCTCTCTCTCTCTCTCATCGAGACTGGATGCTTTTTGTGTCCCCATTGTTATTGTTTGATTATGTAGTCATGTGCTGAAAGGTGCGCAAAAATGGTCCTCAATTTTTTTGTTCGCATAAATGGACTAATGCCTTTCACATTTTCTACTGTCCTTTTGTTATCCGGTCACATTTTTTCGTCCGCACCCTATCCAATATGGTTGATATGGTTGAGAGGTAGTTCCACGTTGATTAATTATAAAACAAACCCATCAAAACTTTTATGATGTTATAGGAACTTGAAACTAAGGTTTGAAGGGAGTCTTCACTTCAACGGATCTTTGTTGTAACAAGTATGGGTCTGGAGTCAACGAGTCAACGAGTCAACGAGTCAACGAGTGAAGCTGAATAGTTGGGCTTTTGTCGAGAATGTTGGAGTCATGATCCGCTTATTTAGTTGGGCTTCTTCTCGCGTGAGATGGCCCAATTCTTTCAGGAGCCCATTCATGTCTCTTCTTCAATTATTATTCATGTCTAATTAATATAAACTATAAATTCAAATTATTTTAATTACCGCTAATTTTAGATATTATTTTCATGACAATAATAATAATACCTCATCAAAATAAGATATATATTGGTGCATTTTGTAACGTATAAAAATTGACTTATGTCATCATGAATAAAGCATGACTTAGATTTATACGTATTTGTAAGTGTAAGAAATAATTGACGTGCATTGTACATGTCAAATTAATAATTATGCAAGATAGAGTGAGGCATGTGATCCAAGTCCAACATCACGTGACCATTGTTCAAGCCACCACGTAAAGCCAATCCCATGACATGGCTTCAATTTTAATTTAATTCTTTTCCTAAACTTTATTCTTTATTCTTTTATGTTATTATATTTATGTAAGATTTAAATTCATTGTAACCTGCAAAGTTTAATTAAAGGTAAATGTATATAAATTAAATTAACTAATACTATTTTCTAAATATATCTTATTTACCCAAAAATAAAATAGATAGAATACTAAGAATAAATAATCATCACATAACTTCTGTAAATATTATTTTTATCAATAAAACTAAATAAATAATCACACTTTTTTAAATATAAATTTAAGTTTCAGATTTAATTGAAAATTTAGTCGGAATTGAGTGACCCAGTCATGCATGGCGTTGCTGGCAAAAACAATGAAATCTCTGACCGTTACAAAAGAGCGCGCCGCCACGTCAGAGGCGCGGAAATTCCACCGCCTCCGTTGCCGCTTATTCCTGAAAATCGTTCGACTTCGAACCTTTTCCTTTTTCCTTCCTTTTTTTTTTTTTTAATATCCAATTTTCAATTTTTAGTTTTTATTTTTTCGTTTTTCTTAATTATGATTTTACACAGTCAGAGCCATACTTTCAGTCGCCAGGAAAGAAGAAAAAGAAAATGTAAAATATTGGAATGAGGAAAATTTTGAGTCTACTCTCCTCCCTTTGTCACATTGATCACTGTTTTTTGTGCTTCTAATTGCTGGGTAATATTTCTCTTCGCGTTTCCATCTTGGGTCAATACACATTTTATCTCTATTTCTGTTTGCGATATCAATTGGGATTGATATCCACTTTCTTTATGGAATGTTGTTTAATGTAGATCATCGTAATCTTAGTTTTTCATTGCGAAGAAATATTCGGTATTATTTAACTTTCTCTACTCTTTAAACCCTGATTGTTAATTCATTCGGTGCTGTTTAAGTGTGGAGATTTATCACCAACACTTCCTATTTTGAAGTTGGAGATGAGGGATTTTGCTTGTTTTGTTTCCGGCGATCGGGGTTTTGCATTACCGCCTCTGGCGAAATTCGGTACTGGGAATTTGCCGCCGATTGCGATTAATGGGTCGCAAGCTGAAACAGTGAAGGGCTACGGCGAGGACTGTGATTCTGGATCCGATATGGACCTATCGTCTGACTCGGGTAGTGATAATCAAAGCCTACATTACTCGGTCGCCATATCTCCTCAAGATGACAAAGTACACATTCATTCGGCTGCCACTAATGGCGTTCCATTGCCCAGTCAATTAAACAATCGTTGTTCTGAAATGGGTCATAAGGGACTTGGTTTTGTTCCGGAGGCAATTCGGCTAAACCGTGAATATAGTCATGGAGGAGTCAAAACGTCGGATTCGGCCGCGACTTCCAGTACTGAAGTTTCGTTTGGTAAATCGAGCACCATTACTTATGGTGATACTGATGCTCACTCTGCAGCTTCCGATCAGGTTTGTTATTTTCTGGTTCAGTTCGTAATTGAATAACATTTTAAGATGATTCGTGCGTAAATCTGAAGCAGCCCAGTATCTTATAGCAAATCAAGATTGTTAGTGTTTAAAGTTTCGATCGACTTTTTGATACACTGCCCAGATGCAATTTTATTACTTAAAAGGGATGGGGACCAATTAGTTCAAATGGGTCTTTTCTCTGTGCCTGAAGATTTGTATTAGCAAAAATTCACTTTCTGTTAGCTGTGACAGACGAAGACTGACGGAGGAATAGGGAATAAAATGCATGTGAATTTTGATATTCCGACTGCTCCTCCATCAAACGTTCGTAATCAAGAAATCAGGGGGATGGAGAATCAAGCTTCAACTAGAGCATATAGGCCTTATCTTGAACAAATAGCACCAGAAAGCTCTTTAGGCCAAAATGCACAAGCTACAAATATTGGAATGTCCAATGCATCAGCTAGGTTTGTGCATATACCTCTCATTTGATTCTCTCTCTCTTTCAAATTTTTGCACTGGAAGTTACTGAGAAAGAGTGTGATATTAACTACGTCTTTGATTCAGGAATGCTGCTGTTCTCGGAGTTGCATCACCTTCTTTGTCTGTTCCTGCCTGCCTCCCGAATTACAGAGCAATGTACTAAAGAAACTTTGAGCATTGCACAAATTAAATTAAACTGAAATAATTTGCTATTTGTTGAAAGCAATAGATAAGGACTTAAATCTTTACGTAATTGCTTCTTTTATCAATAACTTGTTCTTGCTTATGATGGTGGACTCGTTTATGCAGAGGGCAAGGTTCATGGGGTGCTGTCATTTCTTATGAAGCATGTGTTAGGCTATGCCTTCACTCATGGGCTCAAGGTCATTGTACAGAAGCTCCCTATTTCTTGAATGATGAGTGCAAACTTTTGCGTGATGCATTTGAGTAAGTGACTGTCACAGAGACTTAGCTAGAGTTTGGTTTGAAATTTTGTTACTTCATGAATATTAGATTTTGTTAACAGTCAGGTGGTGGATGATCTAGTTCAATTCTAAGTTCAAATTATAACGTTTCTTCAAATCAAGTGATCGTTTGATATATTCTATT